GCTAAAGCTGCCAGCTGAAGAACTGTTGTGGTCGGCCCTTTCCTGCACCGAAGACCTGTCCATCCGCAAGAGTGACATGAGGATAATGACCGATCCAGCCTCTGACCATCGTGTGAAATAACAAGCACTGTCAGCCACTGCGTGAAAACCCTGTTACTTATGCAGCATGTTCATGTGTTGAGATTCATACCATGACACCTGCTGTATCATGAAACAAAAGCATTGCATCATGGGACTGCAGACTCATCTCTGTCATTTTGGGTTTGTTTTTATGATAGCTGTGCGGTTTAGTGTTTGTTTTTAATGACATGTTTATTATAATGTTGTTATACTGTGTTGGCACACTAAGTTTCACCTGGCTTGCATCATCCCAAAAACAAATTTTAGTCGAGCATCAGCAGTCACATCTTAGGTTTTTTTAGTTGTTGTTCTTATTTCAGGCTTGAAATACAACTCCTCGTTAAAATTTTAAGGAAAAACAAAACATCTGAAATGGATTATTAGCTATACAAAATTTTCCAGTGAAATTAAACCTCCAAAAGACTAGAAGCTGTCTACTAAAGCTGGAGCTTAATAGATCTGTAATCACAGTTAAAGCTATTAAAGTTGAATCATTATTTTATATATAAAAACATTGACAGGGTGGTTCCACTTTTTGTCTATATTAATATTATTGTTGATACTAATCAAAGAATCCTACTTGATAGTGGCTACAGTGGATTTGTGTTTGTGTGTTTTATGAATAATGAGAAAATCCCCAAACTTATGACACTTAAAGGTCCAGTGTGTAACATTTAGGATGATCTGTTGGCAGAAATGGAAAATATTATGCGAAACTAAAAAGAATGAGTAAAATTAGAATAAGTCTTTTATATTTACAGATGCCGCGGGTCGCCTTCCATGGAGGCCACCATGTTGAACCGCTATGTTTTTACAGTATCCCAGAATGGACAAACCAAACACTGTCTGTAGAGAAGGACTTTAGCCTTTTCATGCATTTCACAGGCATTGTAGTTTCTTATTCGTTCATCTGCTGAAAATGGAAAGTTTCAACAGATTTTAAGGCACAGGCCTACAATCATGAGACATTACAAATAGTTTGGAAGTCAATCCTGGTCCAGTTTGCAACTTATAGAAGTGTCCAGCAGGAAATAACATATTTATAGATTCTGTCATTTTAATGAGGTAAAAGGTGTAGATGCCTTTTTCGAGGATTTTAATGTGGAATTTTTTTGCAGAAAAGACATAACAGACACACAATATTGTTCCAAGCACACTTTGTATATGTCTTAAGACATGTCTGGAACAGATCTTTAAATAAGAAAATAAAAAGATAGACAGCTCAAGTCTGCTGTCATCAACATGCTTCTGCTTTTACTCCCATGTCATTAAAAAGATATATAACATTTCTCTCCTGTAACAACCCCGAGTGTCATGCAGAAGAGCACACATATAAACAGACAGACATCTTGCCTGTGACCCTCAGCGGCTGTAAATCGAACTTCAAGAGAGAGGGCGATGCCCAGAGCAGGATATGAGAGCGAACGTGTCCCTTTAAAAGCTGCCAGCCAGAGTCGAACAGAGGGAAGGAATGTTCTGAGGCCTTAACAAAACCAGATGCCCCGGCTTACTCTCCCTTGCACACATGCTCTCTGTTGCTTTCTTTCACTCCTCGAGCTCTTACTTAACACCGCAGATGGAAGCAAGAACTGGGCACCCTCCTTTCCTCAGCCTGCCTGAAGAACATCGTCTTCTTTTCTCGAATACCTTTAACGTGGTCTGGCTCTTAGCTCCCTGTCTGTGTCCCAATCTCCTTATCTTCTTGTCTGCTCCTCTTTAACTCTCTGTCCTTTATGCTTGGCAGACCTTTTTCTCATCCCCCTCCACCCCCACAATCCTCCATCACCCCAGTGACATACACACACACAGCCGGGAAACACCAATGGGATTACTCTCTCTCTCTCTCCCGTACATCCTCTTTAGGTAGCACTGCCAGTACCTGCATTAATGCACCACACCAGTGTATATAAGGGTCACACCTTGACCCTGTGTGTTGTGTAGGTTAGTTTCAGGTCAGTGACTCGTCTGCCTGATCCTCTCTCAGGGAATCGGCCTGTGAGTGCATTAAGAGATCGTGGAAGGAGGGGATGCATGAGGAGGAGAAACACCTGCAGTAAGTTGAATCCACCTGACCCAACAGGATGAGGCTGTTTTGCTTTCTGGTCGTATGCATTTGAATTTGTGTGTGTGCACCCCCCTCTCTTCCTCCCTCTTTGCCATCCAGATGTGCCACACCCGTGCTGCTAGACCTGGGTGGCCTGTACCTGTGCCTGTGCCAGCTGCTGTGCCAGCTGTGCAGGGGTGAGCGAGCAGAACAGCATCACAGAAAGAGGTGAACAGACAGCTGCTGCAAACAGAGAGATGGAGAAGCATCATTAAAGGAGGACTGAGTCAACCTACACACCATCAATCATAATATATTCATTACTGGCTCACAGTTATGTTACAGCATAAAACTTATCATTAAGTTGAAAGCATTTAAAATTGGAATTAGGGGCTGTATAATATGTACTTTGCTGTGTCATACACTCGCAAATGTTTTATAATTACAGAAATTGTGTCTGTTTCCATTTTTCAACATTATTGGCAGCACTGAATTTTAATAATGTATAGGTACTTTGTTTTATCTTCGTTCGACTCGTGGTTCAGAGTCACATGGCGAAAGGGGAACTACAGCACTTTGGTGTTCCGGGCTCGAGGCTTATGGACTTAACTAACTCACTTTCTTGTTTGGAGACATACATTATACTGCCAGAGGGAACATAAACAATAATCTTCTTAAGGTGTGAGCTGCTCTGAGCAGTAATAGCAAGTCCTTACTCAAGCAATTTACTGTATATGAAGTTGAGATAGTGACTAGTGCTGTATCGTAATGCTGTACTGTAGTGCAGTTATCTGTCAGTTCGGCACTTAACATGAACTAAAATTCTGATGTTGATTTCTGTTAAGATTATGATACGGCAGACAGAAATTAGATACCAACGCCATGTTCTCAGTTCACTGCACTAGCAGAAAAACAGCCTCTTTACAGTGCGTAACTGTAACCTAGAATAGACACACACAAAAAAAACAGGTGAAACATTAACATTGGCTCCTTTAGGTGTCCCAGTGAGTTTATATCAGTATTCATAGAAGAGACCTGGGACCTCTATGGAAAGCCATAACTCATGGTATTGATTACATGTTTGCTTTTATGCTATGACGTGTTAAAATGTTGCTATTGGCTGAATGGTTGGTTAGCATTTTTAGATTATATATTGTTACTCATTTAAAATGGTCATGAAAGCCATATTTCCATAAGTTTTTTTTAAAGCAAAAATATCTTCTTTTTTAAGGGAATTTTACTAATATAGTTTGGAAAATGTAATACCAGTCACATCTTTGCACAGCATGTATCGACATCAGGCCATTGACTTTGACCCCTAACTGTTAGTAGATTAACTTCGTCTGTTCAAGGTCCTCTGACCCTCACAGAGAAGGTCACAGACAATTTCTTCAAGAAGATAAATCGAATTCTGTTCTTTATCTGCTGTAGAGATATTCTCCCTCAGGACATCTATTTAAGATGTGATCTATGTGCCTTATCACTGGCTTGCAATATAATGGCTAATGGAGTGATAGATGATGTGTTTGAGCATACTTTGAAATAGAAATTCCGAGAACAAAGCACTAATGGACAAGATGCACATATCCTAGATTTGGCAGGGTGGAATAAATTGCAAATACGTGGAGTAGTTTTTTTTTTTTTAGACTAAAGTATTCTCTGGTGTGGTGTCTGCTGTCCAGCCCTTGTTCACCTCTTAAGTCAAAGCAGGAAGAAGCTCCAAGGCCAGGTCTGAAGAGGTTTACAAACCTCTCCTAAATTCTTCCCTGTGGGTAAAATCATGTGAAAGCTGCTTAGGCAGATTATCCCTGCCTCGACGGCAGCTGGCAGCGAGATCCTTGGGAGTGCACCTGACTCAATACTGGTGGTGACGCAACCGCAGCCTGTGGCACAGCGTGCTCCCACAATCCTCTGTGGCCTTTAGCCCCTGAGGGAAAAGTGCATCTTGTGGTTTAAAGCAAGCAGGAACTAAATAGGAGATCACACACACACATAATGCACTGATCAAAATGCAAGTGATCTGATTACTTAAAATTTTGAAATGTTTAATCTGTTAAGGTAAAGCATGATAAAAAAAAAAGTTATTATATTGTTCAGGAATGTGTTTTAACTCATTTACATTGTGTAATAATTATGGATAAATATAATTCTAAGTGATTGTGTGTAAGTGGTGCTTAATTAGTGTTTAAACTTGGTATTATTAAATAACATAACACCATCAACAACCATCCCTGTTTCCTGGACTTATTTCCATCATTGTCCCTGATATTTACACATTCTAATAACCTTTATCAAGATGGAGACAAACATTCAATTTACTGCAAAACAGTGAGATATATTAGAAGATAAGAACAAAGAACAACAAATCTGAATCATATGAGCAAACAATAAATGAAATCCTGCAGATCTGTAGCATCAGCACTATTCACTCAACTCATTGTTTATTGCGACAGACAAATCAAATGTGATTATATGAGCTCTCCAGCTCCCTTTTTAAGGTGTCATATATAATAATAGTATTGTATGGTGAGCCAACTGTACTGTATTTTGTCCTTCGTAATCTTAAAATATTAAAAGTTTCAATTCATATAAAGTAGCTGCTTTAGGACACTGAGGTGAGGGAATTTTGTCCATGCGTGCTCAAATATGTCAGGAACGGGCAATTGGATGGAAAGTGTCATTTTTCTAAATTAGGTGTAGGCATAAGTAAAAGAATGGTCTCCTTCCAAGTAGATTTTAATGAGGTCCCAGGTGCACTGTCACCTCATGAAAACACAATGCTCTAATAAAATCCATGTCCTATCACACTCAGCCACTGAGGCAAGTTTTATTAAAAAATGAAGGGACTTCAGTTTCAGTGCTTCAGGAGTCCTTGCCATGTAGAAAAAAATATATGTGGCAGAGCAATGGTTTGCTGAAGTGAGAAATACTTTCTCTTTTAAGTTGATGCAGAGGTAAACTATGGTGCTTGGAGCTGTTGGAATACTCTTCATTCCTGAAAAACTACAATTTCAGGGACCATTACACAGCCCACAAAGCTAAATATACCAAACGCAGTGTCTAGACGACAGCTGCAGTCTTTGATTTAAAAACTAAAAAAGTCTATTTTTTCTGTGAATCACATGAATTTAAAAACAGATAAATGCAAAAGAGAATCACGCCTCATTCCTGGAGGACAGGATGGTGATAGAAGAGACATAACTGCTGGGTGATGGCTAAAAGCTATAAGTCTGACTTTTGTCAGGTTAACAAAGTATAAAGCTGACAGGAACCCAAAATATAAGAATGTGATACAGACACAAAAATAAATGTACAAATCCTTTGTGTTAATCACTCAAAATATTATTGTTTCACTATTAATACACAGTGTGTGTATGTATGTATGTATGGCATTGTAAATCACTGAAAATATAAATAATTCACAGTTTTAAACATGTCTTTTGAAATAAAATGTGTTACAGTTTACACACATATAAAACATCCGCTGAAGAATAGACAGACTCCAGAGGGTTCTCTCTGTTGTCTGAAAAAAAGAAAAAAAGAGTGCCAGTGCTTTTGAAATAAACACATTGATTTATTAGGAGTATTCACTTGCTTGATGTAGCAAACTTTGTGAAATGTACAAAAATGTCAGCAACTCGCTCATGAGAATTGAAGTGTAAATGTAGAAATGTCAGCAGCTGAAATGTGGTGAGGTCTGTTTTTTATCATACTGTCTGTCTTTTTATTTTAAATGTAGGAAATGTATCACCACGGTCCTCTGTTTTGTCTCATTCAGCCGTGTAGCTTTGATAGATGAACAATGAATAAAGCAATTTGCTGAAACAGTCAATAATGTAACTGTCTTCAGAGCTTTTTGTCATATTTAACTGTGTAATAGACATGATCATAAATCATATGAGGAGCCACAGTATAAGGAGCACATTACTGGCACCCATCTCTGCAAAAATTGTTCTAGCCTTCATAAACCTAAGGCAAAGTAATCTTGTTTGATTTTGTCATGAATGTTTTGAATGTGGAAACACAACAGGTGAAAATCCAACCAGGGACAAGTCAGAAAAAGAAGAATAAGTTGAGCAGAGGTTAGATTTGTATCGAAAATCTGATTTTTAACCCAGCATTTCTAATAACACAGTTGTCTAATGCTGATTTAAAGAGTTTAAATGTCATCATAGCAAATGTGTCACAAAAAGGTGCAAACTGGGATTTGAAAACCAATGTACAGCCAGGGATTGAAAGATTACAAAGTAGCCTACACCCACTTACCACTGTGCCTAAGCCAGAAAGCATCCTGTCTCAAAGGGGCCCCTACCCGTGATGTGTTCTACACATTGCAGCCGACACTTGGCCGGCACTGAGCTCCCAAAATAGATGGTAGTTCCAGATAGGTGGGCTGTGAGACGAAAGAGAGAGAAAGTGGGAATGCAGTGAGAGTGGGACGCAGGATAGTGTAACAAAAGGAAAGAGAACCGGTATTGTGTGTCTGCAATCTGCTGCCTGCATCCCTTCACTCCTAATTCAACGTATGTGTGTTTGTGGGTGTAGTGTGGGGTGTGTGGTGGTGTGGGTGGTGGTTGTGGTGTGGGATGGTGGGTGACGTCAGCAAAGGGGTGCTCTGTTCGAGTCTTAGTGTTCTTCAGTAAGGCCTCTATGTATGAATTCTTTGGAAAGTCGACACAGTTGTAAGTGCCAGACTAATTCCTTTAAATGGCTGTGAGGGTCGCACAAAGCACACACATTCACACTCACACACACACAAAGAAACCATACGATATAGTTTTCATACTATTGTACACACCACTGTGGATTGTGTCCCCTTGAGCCACATTAATAAAGCAGAACGCGGAGGCCCATTACCATGTCTATGTTGCTGGAGTGGGCTTTGTAGAAGAGTGGAGCTTACCCTAACCAGAAGTTATAAAAGACCTGGACGGCGCTGCACCTTTAATGACGTTTTGTTACTGGTGGGGAGGCGCTCAGGATTCATGAAAATCCTGACAACTTAACCTGTAAGATGAGAGGGCAGAGGCAGACTGGGAAAAATTTGTGGGCCCTCTGGATTTCCAAGCTAACTTGTATGAGTTATTAGCACTAAAGAGAGGAATCAACATGGGCTCTTTTTTTGGATACGTTCAAATGCTTGTAATGCAGGCGTTTGCATTACACTGGCAACAGTTTCACTTGTGTTAAACCAGAAAACTTCAACATGTGTGCATTACTTTTCCACTCCTCCGGTATTAAGTGTCACTGTGCCCTGAGGGTTATGTTTTAGTTCTAGATAAGGTGAAATAAACACATTTATGAGAATTAGGAGAAAGTTTTTGCACCTTTTTTGGGGAAGGTGCGTTATTTTCTTTCTTGCCATGGAGATAGATGGAGGAGATTGATTCCACCATGGGAGTTCTCGCGGTTGGCCTGGCAAGCGTCTCTATGGTATAATCCAGGAAGTTTACTGCGCCCAGCCAACAATGTCCATGACCATATACATAAACCCCCCTGTAAAAACTGATTTCTTGGCGTGTTTTTGATATAAAACCTGTAATAAGATAATTAGTGAGCTAAGAAGTGCTGCTTAGTTATGGGCCCAATAGGCTCACTGTAGAGTCCCATACCACACAGGGTCTGGGTTTAATTTTTTCCTGTTTGCCCTTAGCGTTGTCACCCCTACTTCAGTCGTCTTTTTTCCTTGGTCTTCTTCAATCTGTCCAATGGTCAAATATAAAGCACTATTTACAGGAGGAGCCGGGACTCTATGGAGTTTCACCATGTCAGCCACCATGGGTTCTACATAAAAAAAAAGGGCCCCACAAAAACGCCCAGAAAAATAAATTTTTTTTAAAAAAAAACCCCAAAAACCCTGGCGGTAGGCAGGGTGTTTTACATGACTGAGCAAATATACAGAGGCCAACCCCAGGCAGGCCAGTGTTGCTGTACTTCATGGGATAAAGTATAATTCATAAAAACATACAGTATTGTTAAAGATATTACTGTAAATTATTTAATTTTTTTTTCTTCTTAGTGAATGTAGGCCAACTCCAAGCTTCCTCTAATTTTACTCAAGTGAAATAGTGGATGCTGAACCCATCCTCTAGTGCATGCATCCTTTGGATTCATGCCCATGACCAGAGGCAGCTTTTGAGTGTTTTAAGCTGGGAGGTTCAGCTACGAAGAATTGAGCTGTAACCAGTATCTTCATTTCTTACAAGATAGATAGATAGATAGATAGATTAGATAGATAGATCAGATAGATAAATTATAAAGGATAATAATTTTTGATTACAGTGTTAATAAAGTTGTAGATTGATTAATAGAATGGAAATAGGATAGTGCGCACCGCGTGAGAGCAGGCTTAGCTGGCTTTTAGCTGCATGCAACAACCTTACTAGGATGGAAAAAGTGTGTGTGTGTGTGTGTGTGTGTATCTGGGAGTGTGCCTCTCTGTGTGCATCTCACGCATACTTGAGGAAATTGTCAATAGTTGCTCATGAAGACCAGGACCAGCTCAGTCCGTCCTACCCTCAGACAGCACATGGTCCATATTAAACCCCGTCAGATGCGGCTGTCTCCCACAAGGGCATGCTCGCCATCAGGTTCTCCAGTCAAACGTCTGCCTGTTTCAGTGGTCGTCCTTCATCAGGAAATGACATTGCGTTTGAAATAGGGCTTCGGAGTGGATAATCTCTTCCGGGACTGTTAGCAGAGAGACTTCCAAGTTCACTGGGTTTGTGTTCAGTCATGCAGAGTGTAACAGTGGACTGTGATACTGTAAGGCTGGGATCGATGCATTATTCACATAACTTGGTTTAGCTCCAGAGCTCCAAAGCAATACAGCTCCTTTTAAAGATATATAGTGCGCCTCAAGGTGGTGAGTTAAAATCAAACTACAGTGTGCAGGAGTTGAACCACAGGTTGCACATGTTAGAAAGTAGTAGCTAATAATTTCTCAGGTTCTCATTTTTAGGATCATAAGTCACTTGTAGTGTCATAGTAAGTATAACAATGGCTTAGAGATTAAAGCTCTCTCAAAAAGATAAATGTATTATTACTTACTACGATGGTTTACTTATTTTTCGGGAGCAGTAGTCTAAATTTTGTTTGGTAAGAAGCTCAGAGTAAGTTGCTGGTGTGCTAAAGGGGGTGAAATTGGGTTAAACTGATATGAAATATAGAATTTGGTATTCATCAAAAAAATAAACACTTCCCACCATTTCAAGGATTATAAATAAATAAAAACATTTTACTGCACCACCAACTGGGCCTTCTATTAATATCATACTTTTCTTTTGCAGACTTACTG